AAAAAGAGAAAAATTAACTAACCATAACCATAACAAAAACTCAGTATTTATCAAAAGTAAGGGTAATAATTATTATGGGAGACACCACGAATGAAGTGCTTTTTCGGGAGAGAAAATATTCCCTTATTAAACTGCAAAAAAAATTCGATAAATGGAATTATTATCATGCTTCGGTTTATAAACAAACGATCATAGCACTTGTTTTTTCCATACTAGCATTTGGAGTTGGTGTTTATCTATACATTTGGGGGAAAAATGACCCGACGTTAGATACTGCAAAAAATATCGTTTCAGGAACTCTTTTTGGGGCTGGAAGTATTGGGACTCTAGTTAAAAGTTTATTCTCTCTCAACGAATTTTTCGTTAAAAACGATAAAGATGACGAAATAGAGAAGAAATTTGATGAGACAATAGTTCAAAATTCTTTAAAAAATATTTTTCCTTCATCAACTTTACGATTTACAAAGGCTCTTATCAAACATCTACGTCTTATGTCAATATTTCGTACTATATTGGTTTCTCTAATGTCAATTACTTTTTTGATCTTGACTATCATTTCTATCTTTTTCTTGACTTTTAAGCCTAATGAATTTTTATTTCAATGTATCGTTATCATTCTCATTGCTTTTTCTTGTTTTTGTCTATTAATAGCTCTTGCTGTTATTGTTGGTATTAAAATAGTCGTTCCGTTGGTGGAGGAAATGGCGTTTAAACAGATGGTGAAGGAAAATTTTAAGGAGGTCCGGAATGAATTGGAGAAACTAAAACCTGATGAGCCAAAGAAAATTACTGAACTTATGGACGCTATAGACAAAGGAAAGACAGATATCGTTATAAATATAGATAATATAGAGGATAAAGTGGATGAGATATTGAAAGATACGAACATAAGTAAGGAAATGAAAGACCGTGTGGGGGAAAGCATAAAGAAAGTTACGGAGTATTATTTTCGGAATGCGATTCCTTTAGAGAACTTCAGAAAAAATATTATGATGGTCCTTTTAACGTCGCCTTTCATTCCTATTCTTATTATGATTGGTTTGGTGAAGTACAAAATGGAACTCAAAAAAATTAACAATCGTTGGGATCTCAAATTTGATTTATATGTGAGAAGAATTTCGATGAATAAGAAAGAGATAGAATGTATCAAACGCCTTTTATTTGGTGTACCAGTGTTGAGGTATGATTTGCCCTCCGTTTGGGACAGTGAAACTAACAACAACACACAATCAAAAACAGTTAATGGTAAGCAGGAGCATACCACGATAATTATACCAGAAGAAAAACAAGCTGACCAAATTAGTTCTCACTAAAACTACAACTTGGTTCGGTTATCGTTATTAATACGAGCTCGTGACGATTGGATTAATCTGGAAAAAGACAAAATTTCTAATTTTCATGAGTAAATTGTTTTTAAACTCAATTAGGCACTGACTTGTTTACGATTTAAAAATTAGGCTTTAATTCAAATTATACTGTATATTATTTTTTTATAAGTTTGAAAAAATTTATTGTAATACTTTTGTGTGACATAAACCACCCTGTGTCTGTTACATTATACCATGGGTCTGGTGTACGAAAGAGGATAACTTACAAATGTACATAGTGATAGGGTTAACAGAGTTGGAAGTTTGTATAATATAAATCAAATCTACAGACTCGGGTCTTACATTTTTACAACGCTAATAATGATACGTCATTCGTCAATGACGAAATCTTTTTGTTTTAAACGATAAAGCTTATTGGCTAGTGATAAATTCCGTTCTTTTAACAAATAAGTTAAATGTCTGTCGGTAGCTCCCATAATTATGGGATAACTTGAACGAAATTTTTTAAACTCAAACTTTTCATCAGCCACTAACACAATAATGATAAATTTCGTAAATTAAATTTAATTACTGCAATTAAATATAAATGATTATTTAAGCATTCGATTAATTATAAAATTTTTAGTATTTGCAAATCCCGTGATTCCATAATTTTGTCATATAATGACAATCAATTCTATGACAATACAAATTTAAATAAGTAATAAAAATAAAGAAATTTATAAATTTTCCCAGAAACAAATCCATCATCTTGTATACCTCTCCCCCTTAGCATAAATCAATCATAAATACTTTGTGGCAAATTCAATTAGCTTATCACAGATTTCAACTTTGATCTGTTCCCAAACCTGCTGTAAAACATCTCACAACATCTACTTACTAGAAATTTGTACCTGATATTGACATAATCATCTATCCACTTCATTTCACAAGTGTTAATAGGATTAAGATCCAGAGATTGAACAGGTTAATTGAAAAATATTGATTTTGTTTTTCATGAGCAAGATTTTACTGTTGATGCCTTGTATTTGGGATATTGTCATATTGAAACACAATTTCAGATTTCTCAAGATTACGATTCTCAATTATTTTCAAGAAATTAGAATTTATCTATAAAGATTTATATTCATATTACTGTCAATTTTGCAAAGATTTTCATTCCAAGTAAACTACTTCATATCAGTATATTTTCATTATTAAATTTTACTGTTTGCTTTACAAATATGTTCTTTAATATTTTTCATTATATTATCAATAATATTATTTATTTCTGATTCAAATAACTGACTTTTATTTAATCAAATTATCTATTTTTAAAGATTAATAAATCAATTTTAATAATTTTTTTTCTTTTAATATATGCTTTAACATCATATCTAGTAAGAATATTATAAATTTATTAATGTTAATATTGATATTATCTTCTATTTTTAGAATTTTTAAAATTTAAAGCTGTTATATAATATTTATTAATAATATAATAAAGCATATAATTTTTTGATTTCAGCAAGTAAATATGAATATTTTTATCTTAATTATAATAAAAGAAGATTATTAGTTATATATCTCTAGTAGATTTAAATTATAATTAATTATTTAATTTATATTTTTTTGAGTATAATTTAAATGAAATAATCTTTTTGAATTAGAATGAAAATTTGATTTGCTATTCAAATAAATTCATATAAACTTTTATATTATAACTAATTTATTTTATATATATATAATACTAAGTAAATATTATAAATAATAAATTTGATAGATAAATTGAATTAATAAAAAAATTAATAATAATTTAAATAAAAAATTTATTATAACTTATTATTTTTATAAGTTTAAAATTTTGTAAATATCATATTATTAATTAATAAATTATTTTAATTAAAAAATTTATTTAAGTAATTTAATAATTATAAAAGTTATTATATATAATTTAAAGCTAAATAATTAATATAGTTTAATTAAAAATCTGTATATAAAATTAAAAAAACAAAAAAAAAGATTTTATTATTAATTAAAAAACTTTAGCAAATAAATTTCAAATAATTTTTTTAATAATAAAAAGCAAAAAAATATAAATATTTAATAACTAAAAAAATTCAAATTAGATAATTATAAAAAATATAATTATAAAATTTATATTAATTTTTATTATATAATATATATTTAAATACACTCAATATGAAAAAAATAGTAATTATATTTTTTGTCTATAACTTATAAGAAATTACTAAAATTGATGAAAATTTAGCATTATATTCTTTAGACTGACAAAAATAATATTTTCTAAGATTACAAAGCATATTAACATAGTAATATTTTGTAAAATTACATATTAAATATGATGAGCTAGGATTATTCTAGTAAAAAAAACTATAAAAAATTATTTAAAAATATTTTTTATAGCTTCTTAACCAGAGTAGCTCCCAGCTTATCATCTTTAGTATATAATTTCACAAAATATTATTATATTAATATGCTTTGTAATCTTAGAAAATTTTGTTTCTATTTGTAATAAAAGCTTGCCAATTTTTAAAGAGTTTAATACTATTATTTATCTTCATCTTGTTAAGATACCAATGTAAAGCTACATCAGTCAAAAAAGTGGTGGCATATTATATCTGAGTTTTCTCATCAGTAATTTCTTGAGCCTGGAATATTATTTTGACTTGCATAATCCAGATAAGTATATTTTCATTTGGTTCTTCTGAGTAAATAGATAGTTTAACTGAAAGATGAGATGAAGATTTAGGACCAAAGGGATCATCTTCTTTAACTATCTTGATAAGTTTAGTCATGCTCTGTATAAATTGGACAAATTATTCAGAGTTCATCTTGACTATATTATTTTGTAAAAACTAAAATGTATATGTAATGTGTAAATGTAAGATATTAAAGGGTAGTGTTTGTATAACTGTGTCCGCTATTATTAAGTTATAAGATTATTTTGTTAATAGTTGTAAACAAAATAAAATGTGATATGAATAAGTTTTAATTTTATAACTTATGATTATTTTTATTATTTAAAAGTAT